TTTTTTTTTTTTTTTTTTTTTTTTTTTTTTTGTTTATATACATGTTTAATGTGGGGCCTGGTGCCAAAATCCTTTAGCATCGTGGGAAGGTGTTATCGTCTCCTAACAAACTACTCTTCATCACTTCCAGGGAAGACTTATGCTGTGAGCTCTGTATTTTTAGGAGGCTGGAGCAATTAGCTGAAGTTGTATCATTTAAACATATTACAGGCTAGCCCAAAACAGTCACTGCCTATTAGTGAGTAGTTCTGGAAAATTTTTTAGTAAAGCATTTTTCTGTATATTGATATGTTCTGAGGTCTGTGTATATCCAGCTAATGTTTGTATTGCCACAAATAGGATTTACTGCTGAGGGTCTCTGGAGAACCCAGACAGCGATGGGTAGAGGTAGGGAGTGAAAACTTTTGCATAAATTTATTAATGTAAAATGAAAACACACAATAAATGGGTGTTGTTTGGTGAGACCACCTAGGTAGGTGTTGGATTTAAGGGGTCTCATAGGTAGGAAAAAACAGCTTGACTGCCAATAGGTGGTGGATAATTGGGTGTGTGCACACATGAATGTCCAGAACTGAACTTTCAGCTTCCCAGATGGAAGCAGCTGCTTGTGAACTACAACTGGTACGGGGGCCAGTTATAAATTTTACTACCACCTGGACTAAACTGAAGTTTCAATAAGGCCAAATGCCGGGGGCTGCACTTGGACCACAACAACCCCCAGCAGCGCTACAGGCTTGGGGAGGAGTGGCTGGAGAGCTGCCAGTCAGAGAGGGACCTGGGGGTGCTGATTGACAGCCGGCTGAACAGGAGCCAGCAGTGTGCCCAGGGGGCCAAGAAGGCCAATGGCATCCTGGCTTGTGTCAGCAATAGCGTGGCCAGCAGGGACAGGGAAGGGATCTGACCCCTGTACTCGGCACTGGTGAGGCCGCCCCTTGATTCCTGTGTTCAGTTTTGGGCCCCTCACTACAAAAAGGACATTGAATGACTCGAGCGCGTCCAGAGAAGGGCAACAGAGCTGGTGCAGGGTCTGGAGCACAGGTCGTACAGGGAGCGGCTGAGGGAACTGGGGGTGTTTAGTCTGGAGAAGAGGAGGCTGAGGGGAGACCTCATCGCCCTCTACAAATACCTGAGAGGAGGTTGCAGAGAGCTGGGGATGAGTCTCTTTAACCAAGTAACAAGTGATAGGACAAGAGGGAATGGCCTCAAGTTGCACCAGGGAAGGTTTAGCCTGGATATTAGGAAGCATTTCTTTACAGAACGGGTTGTTGGGCGTTGGAATGTGCTGCCCAGGGAGGTGGTGGAGTCCCCATCCCTGGAGGTGTTTAAGAGTCATGGTGACATAGCGCTTGAGGGATATGGTGTAGCTGGGAACTTCAGTGCCAGGTTAATGGTTGGACTGGATGGTCTTCAAGGTCTTTTCCAACCTAGACGATTCTGTGATTCTGTGGAGTGGTGTATCCCAAACTCTCTAGGCAACAAGGGGTCATGAGACAGAAGCAATGCTGAGGAGCCTGCTTGTGCCACCGATGGTCTGGACTGGGAGAACCAGGTCTTGGCAGCTCCAGGAAGAGGAGCTGGTGCCAAAAAGAAGGGTTTTAAAAAACCACAACAAACCCAAAACAATGGTCTGGGAAGAAGATGCTTAAGAGCTTGGCTGAAGGAAAGACCCTGGAATTGAGGTCTCTGCAGGGAAACAAATGCCAGGACATGGCAAGGGTCCTCAGGCAATCCCAACATTATTAATAAGCAGCTTTATGTCCCAGAGGAAGACAAAACCAAAACCATTTGACACATACAGACGACAGAACAAAATAATTTTACATACTGTCACTGGTGGAAAAGAGTCTGGGTTCTAAAATTTTTTTTAAAACTTTTATTTTTTTAGAAAAGGAATAAACTCTGCATGGTAGAGTGTACGGTGTATAATTTCAAACCAGAACAAGTGATATGGAATGGATTATTCTCCCGAACTATTTAAAGTTGAAAATCTAAAATAATTTGTAAATCAACACTCATTACCATGTAAGACAAAGAAAAAAATAAACACAGTTTTTGTTTGGTACAGATTTCCTCTATCACTTCAGCCTGAATTTTCCCAGGGTTGGGGAGAAAAGGGGGGTAAATCCTGCCTCTTGTCCTAACCATAATTGTACTGACCAAGCTTTGTGCTCTGAGATCTAGCATCATATGGCTTTATATACGTTCCTAAGTGAACAGTGCAACATCATCACCATCTTAAGTGTTTATTCCACATTCAAACTGTAACTGAACATCACTCTGAAACCCTTTCCCACCCCCAAAACAACAACAATGAAAAGCAGAAAGTCTCCAGCAATCAGATTTCATCCCAGAAATCTGTGTAAACTGTAGATCAGGGTTGGGTAGCAGCACAGAAGACAAAAGATGTGACAGCATGATTCAATAGCGTCTCTAAAGACTACTGTAAGACTGTCATTCTTTAGTCTGCATCTTGCAATCACAATTTGCTTTTTCCCTGCAATACTATAAAGCAACATAAAAAAAAAAAAAATTAGACTCAAAAGCAAAAGGTAGAAGCCTTTACGGAAAGGTAAAGCTTCTGCTTAGCCTTGAGTGGTCGCTATTAGAAACCAATCTCTGCATCAGAAGCAAACTTGAACATATATACATGATTTCAGCAGAAAGGGATGCAGCCAAGGATGGAAACCCTCCTAACAGACCTGCAGACCATTTTGGCTTGTAGGTCAACACTACACCACTTTTTTTGGCTGAATAAACCAGCAGGGCAGCCATAGGCGTTAGGCGTGCTACAGGCTCTTGGCTCCTGTTTCTTGGCTGTGTGGGGGCCGGGAGGAGGAAGGAGCAGGAGTGCCAGTGAGGGCCCCCCCTCCCATTGCTCCGCAGCCGGACGAGTGACGTGTGGGTTGCAGCAGTGTGGGGCGTTGCACTGGGGAGGTAAGGGCACACTTTTCTCTTTAACCCCTCCTCCCCAATCCTGTTGGAATGTATCTATATCAGTAATTAGATAAGTATTAATAGTAACTGTAAGCTAGCAGTCACCTTCCCCCTTAAAATGGAGGGAGAGCAACAGCATCAAATTCCCATTTGTCCTGACATGTGTAACCTTTCCAGAACCTACAGAGCAATCATATGCAGGCGTTTTTCATACTAGAATTTGAAGGAGTCAAAGCTGATAACGAAACTGGATGTTTCCTGGCCTAACTGAAGGAAATAATAAAACTGATTAAAGTAAGAGCGGAAGAAAGCAAGCATTAGTGTGTTTACATACTCTGGTATGTCCCACTTCTCTACGCTCTGCTCACAAGCCCTTTCCATACTCTGAGCAAGCACTCCCAACCTTAGAGAGGTAAGGCTTCAGCTACAATCTCATGCTTGAGATTTTTTATTTTTTTTAAATAAATATCATAACTGTAAGTATTTGACTTCACCAGATCTGTGTGGGGCATATCAAGGGCAAGGCTTGTTAAGTGAACCAGCACAGGAGAAGATTGGACAGGGGTGTAATCTCACAGGATAACAACTGAATGATGTCCATAAGCATGGCGCTAGCTTAGTGTGTATGTAGCACTGGGGAGCCTGGATGAAACCCTCCAGCTTTCTGGGTGTCCAGTCAGAACCAGGGAAGCTGCAAGAAGTTTTACTGTAAAACTCCAGTACTGAAATGTCTAAAGGAACTGGACCTTTAACTTCAGTGGGCACTGATTTTAGGTTTTGCACAGTCAATTCTAGTTAAAACCCAAAAACTTTTAACAATAGCTGATGCCCCTACTGTTGGAGCCTTAAGACACCTGTTATACGGCCGAGCCCTACTCTTTTTTTTTTTTTTTTTAATAAAACACTGTTTTAAGATACAGCACAATAAATGTGCTTATTACGCACTCTAACATAGAGCACAGAAATACAACACTACAGAGTGCAAGTCTAACCATCTCCACAGTGGGAAAAGTGCGAAGGTTAAAAATATGCATGTGGCTTAACACAAGATATTTTTAAAAAACATGACATGGCAATCTCATACTAATGCTTTCATCACAAACATGACTGAAAACTCAAGGTCAGTTGCTGATCCTTCTCTTGTAGTAGTAGTACTGTAATCCTTTCAAAGGTACAATGTTGGAAAGATCAGAGAATAAAAAAAAAAAAAGTGTCCAAAAATGATCCCATTTACCGTTTTTCCAGTAGTTATGTTTTTTAAGAAGTAAACAAAGGTCACCTTGATCTTTGCCATTGGTAACTGATACACTCGGAAACAGCTAAGCCAACCACCTGGACTGAGATCAGTTCAGTGTTGCACACGCACACACACACGGATACACACACAAACACCCCACACGAAAAAGTGCACTTTCAATTGCTGATACAAAAATAGATTGGCACATTCTTTTTGACACAGTGAAGATATCTTCTTTAAAAGCTTTTTCACGTTACGAAGTCCTCTTGGAAGATGCAGCAGGTCTGTAGAAAAAGCGCTATGAGAATGCACTCACGTGGGCTTCCAGGGTTTGTGTGATGGAGAGGGGTGGTCATGGAGGCTGCCCTTCAAATTTTGCCTACTTTTATAGCTGTAGTCCCCACAGACAGGGGCAGTCGCCACCCAGTTTCAGAACGTTAACCATTTACCAACAGCTCAGTCTTCACCTGCTTTGAGAAAGTAACAATACATAAATTTGTCAAAGCTGAGAGTCTTAATCTCGACGCAGTGTTTCCTATTTGTTGCTTGAAAAACTGTTTTGGGGAGAGAGTGAAGTGTTAGGAGTCTGGTTTTGCATTTCCAGTAGTAACTGCGGCTCAGGAGAGCCAAGCGGGAAGTCAGGAGCCCCTTCCCCGCAGGGCAGCCAGCGCTAGGAGTTCTGCACCAAGCGTCTGTAGTGCGGCATCACTTCGTGCTCAGGAAGGTGGAGAGCAAACTCCAAGGCCACCAGCACCGGGAACTCGAAGGCAATCAGCTCTCGCCTATTCAGCCGGAACTTCTCTTCCAGTTTCTGCAATGAAAGCCGAGAGGGGGCGGGGGGGGGGAAAAAAAAAAGTCTTTGTAAATGAGAAGTTGACTTTCTAGTGCTCTCTTACCGATGACATTATTCAAAACATGTGTGCTACTGTCATCAAACCTCTGCCTTGCTGGACATGCATGGCTCTAGATTTAGAAAATGAGAACAGGATGAATTGGATGTACTGATTCCTTTCTGTAAAGGTGAACTTACAAAGCTCAGTGATGTGGGAAAGAAGCAAGTTGATAGCCATGCTATTTCTGACATGTTTGTCATTTCACTTATTCCATCTCCAGCAGATATGTCTTCTAACTATCAGTGATTACCACTGCAGAAAGAGGAAACTCCTGGCTTCGTGCAAACATCAAAAATCACTTGTGTAATGGAAGACACGCGTCTCCTAAATGCCCACAAGCTTCCTGCACTGCTTGAAATCACTAATTTTCCTTTCAGCATTAAACTGGGTTAGGACACCCTGTTGGGGAAATTATTTCTGCTACAACTAGATATATTTGATTACTAATTTTCCTTTCAGCATTAGACTGGGTTATGACACCCTATTGGGGAAGTTATTTCTGCTACAGTTAGATACATTTGATCTTAGTACCTCAGAAGCAGAAGGTGTCATCTGGCAAGGACTGTAAGAGAGTAATAGAAACTACTATCCTCAAGGGGGATGAGATGGGTTTCATAGTTGGCTTTCTGCTGTAACATACTAAACCTCCCATCTGCTCGGCTGTTTTCACTGAATTGGATGCTACAAGTAGGCAACCAGCTGTTCAGGGATACTTCCCCCCCACCTCTTATGATCTCCCTGGCTTCCTACTTCTCTGACCACTGGGTCTACTGAAAAGCTCAAAGTGTCTTAAGGATGGACCAATGTTTTGGGATAGCAAGAGAGGCCAGATCTTTCAGCTCCCACTGGGTTGATTTTTTTTTCTGGTTATTCAGAGGGCTTTCTAACAATCTGTTGACCCAGCTCTGTGACTGTGGGAGAAGGGCATGAGTCCAGGCCTGCCCCCCAACCAAGTCTCCATGTTTCTTGAACTGAGCGAGTTGGCTGTAGCTACCTGCCTAACTTTCCGTAGCATTAAATCAGATTGGTATCTCGGTGCTTGCAAAGGACTATGGAATAACACTCCCCTCTGTTAATTCTTTCATATGGAGTAGGTGGAAGACTGAACACCTTACTCTACAAAAAAACAGTTGGGGGGAGGTGTTCTAATGGGAACACTTTTTTAGGTTTTCTTGCCCAAAAGCTTAAACCGTTGAAAAAAATAACAAGTTGGAGTCTATTAGACTCCCTCTGAAATTAGTATCTGCATTTACCTCCCAAAGGAGAGTCTTTATTGACACTGACAGCATAATTAAAAGCAAAATGAATTTCCTGATGGTTAACTTCTGACTTTTATTGACAGAATCATGGTCAGACACTCCTCAAACCTCACAGTATCTGACACCAGGGTCTTCAATCACACCAAATGAGCTTCCAATGCCTCTGCAGTGACATCAATCACATAAATGTATAATCAAAAAAGGTATTTAGCGGCTGTGCAGCTAGAAACCTAAAGAGTGTGACCACTGACAAGCAGGCTTACATAGACCACACACTGGCACTTCATGTAGAAGGAACACTGAAAACCTATGGATACGTACATCTATAAGATGCTTGACTTCGTGTTTTCTGAGGTCACTGCCAATTTTGGCTGCTAAAAGAACACAGGCTCCAGCACAAAGCTTCCTATTCTGCTTGTTCAGCTTCCCCTTGAGAGCCAGCTTCTCAAAGTAGACAAAGGCCATGGCCACTGTGGGCTCTTCAAAACCACATTCTTCTTGAGCAAGCTTGCGCATTTCTCTCTTCAAGCTGAGTAAAGAGACCAGACAAGTATGCTGTGAACTGCATTTTAAAGCATTTCTCATTTCACCCTAAGAGTCACCCTTTCAGAGATTTCTGCTCAGTCAAATGGAGGAGAAAAAAACCCAAACATAATTTACTGGGCAGATATCTTTATGCTCAGTTTTAGGGACACATTTCATTTTGACCTCGGCCTTCCCCCTCACTGCCCCCGGTAAATAGTTATGTCTAACTATAGAAGCAACTGAAAAGCTTTGACATTTTGAGCAACAATATTTCATCAGAGGTCTTAAGCTGCATACAATTTCTTTAGTAACCACAGCTTGATTGCTTGTGCTCTATACGCAGCTTTGCTGCTGGTTATGGTTGGTCAAATCTAAACCGACAGTCTTCCCATGTACTGCACTATTACCTGGTTACAGAGCAACAGAGCTCAGTGTCCTTCTGGCCACTTTGGTCAAATGAAATTATTGCTACTTCACTGAAACAACATCTAGCCTGCTACACTTGAAACAGTGATGAAATACTACAACTTTGCTGTGAAGCTGAACACTTGTTTTGCTTCTGGCCATGCTCTTTGGACAAAGCACAAAAGTCAGCCTTTCTCTTTCCTCAGTCTCTTTTTAAGTTAAGTGCCATGAGCTTGGAGAGCTTTTTGTGTTTTCTGGATTTTTTAGCATAGCGCATGCTCAGCTCGCATTTTCATCTCATTAGATGCCCATTTGAAACCTGACCGGTACCTGTTTGTACATTCCCCTATCTTGTTTACTCAGTCCACTAATCAAAGCAATCATCTGACTTATTCTGCACCTCTGATGGCCACTGCTCCTGGAAGATCAATCAGTGCTGTGCTTCCCACCATGTCCAACAGCAATTGCACTGAAATGTGAGGCAGCTGCATCATGTTGCAGCCTTAGCAAGCTTTGCAGTGTACCTTCTTATTTTACTGAGGGTTAACTTGATGTGAGGGAACTTCTCCTTAAAGGTCTCATTCATGTCCTTCTTGAGATCTGATGGCTTCACGTAGTCTATGACTGTGGTCTGTAACACATGGTCAAGAAAGAATTTCTCTTTTAGTTTCTAACAAGCAAGATCTCTCAATTACCAAAAGCAAGGAATACCAAGTAAGTGCAGTCAGTCCCAATGCTTTCAGTCAAGGGGAAAATTCAGTCTGAATTAAGGCAACAATTTGTTTGTGACTGCTTTGTCTGAACAAGTGACCTGAAATCCGAGAAGATGGTTCGGTTCAGCACAAGCCCTGAACAACAAATACCTTATTAGGATCCTCCAAGTATCACTCAAGAGTGAGTTTAAGAGAAATGTGGGTGGATAAAACCTAGCTGACAAGTCTTGTTAAACCAAAATAAATCATCACAATAACCGATTTGATGACCAGATTTTGTGTGCATGTCTCCATGCGGTTTTGAGAAATATTGTGAGTTTCTTTCAAAGTGATTCTTCAAAGGAACCACTGATACAAATTCTTGAGTGCCATAGCATACATTTGTGATAAAACAGGCAATTAACCTACATGGCAGGTAAGGCAATAGAGTGCAAGATAGTAATGCAGTCATAAGTAGACAGAAATACTGAGTTAAGATGACATTCATAGTGTACAGTCTTTTTCCTTTACAATGAGATTTTTATTGCTTTTTGTTAAAACCCTAAGAATTTCCCCAAGTAGCAGAGGGCCCTCCCAGCCAGTACTGCAATGCCAGTGCCTGCATCTATGGGTACACAGCACTTCATCTATGGGTACGCAGCACTTCTCTCATTCCCTCAGTCTTTGTTCAGGTAGTATTTTGCCCAAATCCTCTGTCACCACTCACCTGGACAAAATCTATCATCTGAACAACAAATCAACCTCCATTTTGGGGATGTGCCAATTCTCTTCCGAGCTTTGGATGTTCTACCCCTTCGACAGAAGCAGGGAAGAGCCCCAGCTTGGGCAGCCAGGGGACAATCTGGTTGCCAGGCATCCAGCTCCCAGCCAGCTTCAAGCACAGGCAGTGGGAGAGCAGCAGTGTGCAGCACAGTACACTCTCCTTACAGCAAAATGATTTCTCCCTTCTAATTTCTGTTTATGGCTGACCTACATCACGGCAAAGAGCTGTTAATGCTAAACAGCAAGAGGTGGAAAGAGGCAGGCAAAACACCTGTCGCATGTAATGCCTTTATAGACGATGGAGCCTCGCTGCACTATATCCTCATGAGAATCTAAATCAGCCAATAAGACCGACTGCATATGCTTGTAGGTTTTTTTCAAGAATTAAAATAGTATGAGGAGGAGAGAGCGTTGGCTCTAGAGAGCAATTGGACAACTCTTGTTATCCAATCACTTTCTTGTCTGGATCTGAAATGAGCATGAAGGGGAGCTAAACAAACCTAACTTTTCACACTTTATTTAGGAGATATGGTAGTGAAATAATGGATAATTATATGAATTTGAAAGAAAGTAGAGCATGTGTTTCCCCTGAATAGCGAACAACAGTATTTGACATAAACATACTGTAGTAGAGGAAAAAATCCAACTTCTTGCCATGGTGTGTTCTTATGGTCATACACACATTTTAAAACGTGGGCCATTCTGCTAGCTGATTTTCAGTGTGAGAAGCATTACCCGTCCAGAAAAACTGCTCCCCACTATATCTTGGCAGGCAATTCTGCTGGGCACATCATGCACAACAGTTGCCTGCCATCCTAAGTATAAATGCTTGTGAGCCTCCTCCAACACAGTAACATCTTGAGCACTAGTCTGAATTTTGCTCAGTAAAGGGGATAATTTATTAAGGAAATTAATTCCTATTAAGGAAAGCTGCCAGTTATACAAATCATCAAAAAGGAGAAAGCCACATTAACCCTCTTCAGCCACCCTTGCTACCCTGAAAGCATATGGATGAGCTTGAGTGCAGGTCTGGGCAGACTGCAGTGCCATTGAAGTTACAAATACATATGCTGTCATGACACTGCGGCAGATAACGTGTTGCCATGCCTGAATAAAAGGAAAAGAGGAAAAGACAGGGAGAAGAAACCTTGCCCTGTCTGGGGTGGGAGGGAAAGGCTTCAATTGAATGTGTGGGTCTGCCTGGTTTTAATCTTGCTGAGGTTGGGAGGATGTACGCATGCACCCGTGTGGCCGTGGCTCTTCGCTGCAGCTCACCTGGCAGGGCTCAGCCCCCCAAGGCAGAGGAATTAAGATCTCACCAATTATTCCTCTATTTTCTTTCCCTGGGACGTTGCTGCCTGCCTGCCTAGTCCTTGGTTTTGTTGCCAGAGGATCATCAGCAAGTTGGGTGCTTCTGACACACAGATGAGCTGGGATTTTTATGTGTTATTAAGAGAGTTCCTCTTAGTACTGCTCTAAGAGGACTATTGAAACAAGCCACATATCATAATTTAGACCAGTGCCATCTGCTACTCAACGTACAGAAACATTGGTCCATGCAGCTCTTTATTTACAGGGTCACGAGACACTGAGTGCGTAAAGGTTATCTGTTAAATCCAAAGATGATTTTAGTTACTGCCAGCATTTTCTGCTTGTCTTGAGCAATCCTAGAAAGAGTGAGCTCAGTGTTACTGTGCAAAAGCTACATGACACCTTATTTCATGCTTCACTGCAAACCTAACTGCCCATTGTTTGCTCTCCATTACCACAGAGCTCCTTAGTTTTATCTTAATTATCTCCCTCAAAGTGATCAGAGGTTTTTCTGGCAGACTTGCATTTGGCTCTCTCCAGGTAATCATCTTCCCTTGCACAGACGAGGATGCAATCACACACAAACCTCATGTGGATGACAGAAACCACTTGGCAGCAGAAAGGGCACAGCAACCAAGAGAAGGGGCTGTCCATCCTCTGGACTCAGCTGAAAAGCTGCACAGAAATTATGCCAGACAGCAAGTTTCAGTTGCTTTCACCTCTAACAAGTAGGCGCCAGCACAGGGGGTGACTGCCTAGAGGGGGAGCGAGCCCCAGGCTCTGCCCCACATCAGCAGCAGGGCTGTGTCCCCAGGACACACCTTTCTCCACAGCCGCCCTGCACACACCATCTAGTTTTACCTGGGATGCCAGCCTGTGGGAGATTTGTCAGAATTCAGCTAAATTCTCTTCAGAAGGAGAAAAAAATTTTTCTTAAAATTTTAGTTAAAGCGAAACATTCAGAGACTTGAGAATAAGCAGACGGCTTAAAACCGAAAATGGTAAAGAGGTGCGGCTATTTTTAAACACAGAGATTTGTCAATTTTTGTCCCGTTGATAAGAATCTCCCCCCCAACTCCAAATACTGCTGTTTCCTGTGAGACAACAGTCTCTATGATATAAATCACAATAATGAAATCCAGATGAAAGCTGGTGTGTGCTGGTTTTGATTCATGTAACAGGATAACAGCAGCATGTTTGAACACACTGGGTCTAAGGCAGCTGTCTCATCTTGTCAGTGCCATGCTGGAGAGCTCAGCTAACTGCCCCTATTCTCAAGAAAAGGAATTGTGCAACTCTTTTTTCTTTTTTCTCCCTTGATTTTTTGTTTGTAGCTGCTACAGAAGCCCAGCTTTGTTTGAGCACTGGGATGCTGTTTCCCTATAGAAATGTGTGCACGTGGGACCTGCACCAGACAGGCAGGCAGCAAAAGAAAAAAAAAAAAATCTGTTGACAGGTAATTTAAAAGCAATGCTGAATTACTGTCTTGAGTGACTGAATCAGTTAGCCATTCTGTTTCTGAGCCAGCACGTGAGCACCCTTCTCACTGTCACACCGTGGCTGGGGCACAGCACTCATGAGACTACACAGAAATCCAGTTCCTGACCCCACTCCTGCTCAGGGCACCTCCTGCACCCCATGAATGACTCAGCACTGAGCAGCAACCCCCCATCGATGCGCCTGCCCACGAGGGATGGAGCAGAGGAAACCTCTAGGCTGGCCCAGTGACCCACAAGGACCATCTGGGATCTGACTGGGGAGGGCCCTGACCTAACGTCATCCTTCTCTGCCTGATCTCTGCTCAGTGTTTACACTGCTCTGTTTTCGGCCATTTCATTGAGTTTGAGCTACCCGTGAGCCCCAGACAAAGCTGCCATGTTGAAGAGAAGACATGACTGTAAACATCATGGATTTTTGTCTGGCTGGAACAATTCTGGTACTGCCTGTGTATAAGCAATGTTCAACACCAATGCCCCAAATTTTATGAAGAGTTTGCAAATATTTCCCTAAAAGGAGCACAGCGATTTTCTGTCCAAACATGCTTTCTTATACATAATGTTATTCCCTACCAGGCAGGCACTCTACACTCCCAGGGCTGTCAGACACACGAGCAAGGAAATGAGAACTACCAAACTGTCTCTCTCATACTCTAATCTCAAATGTTTGTAACTTCTGTCATCCAGAAATGTCTGTCTTGTTTCTCACAGCTTATTTGCACAAAACACATTTCACTTCAGTATTCAGCAACACTCCTTTGTGAGCTCTGTTCACATTCTCTGTATACAAATCTGTGTATGTATATTTTAGTTTTGTGATGGGAGTTGCACAAGACAAATGAAAGCCTTGATATGTGGTAGCTGACAGATGCCTGGACAACATGATGAATGCTTCAGCCGAAGTCTGTACTCTGCACACTTTTTGCATGGCTGGCAGTTTTGAACTTGGAGGTTAGCTTGTGTGTTATTCACAAGTGTTTTCAAGCAGCTGCTTTCTCATAGGAAAGCTGTATATATAGTTTCATAAATATGGGAGGAGGGAGGATGCCTGAAATGGTTGGGAAGACTGGCAAGATGAAATATTGTTGAAAATAAATCCTACTTTGGCACTCTACCAGTAAAAAACGATCTAGCTTTGGATGCCTCTGTCTCCCACTTAAGAAGGATAAAATCAGAATAAAATAGGTAAATAAAATGAAAGATATATGAGGCTGTCTTCTGCTTCATAACTGTGTACCCCTGATAAATTTACTTCACAGAAAGCAGACAGAAGACTGATACCTTTAACAGACTTTTGGTAGGTCAATAAGAAGTTCTCAGCCACATAACAAATAAAAGAAGTCAATGAC